TAGGCCATTTGATTGCAAAGCCTGTACTCTTAACCATTTCTCTATGCTCCATCAGAAAGATAATAAAAACAAAGACAGATGGAGCAATTAAATATACTACCTTTTCCTTTTGTGTGCCCTCGGGAATTAAGAATGGTGCTCCCATCCATTGAAAAGATCAGCAATTAATTATTCCTAGTTCCTGACCTGTTTCGGTTCAGTTTCCTTTACTTTAACAATTTTTTAAAAGTAAAATTGGTTAATACATCATCTTTTCTGTTGAGTAAGCTTATATTCTCGAGAGAATAAACTAAAGCTGGAGATAACTTGAATACAGGCAGATTTGGATAAATGTCATAAAAAAGAAATTCAAACAATGGATTGAGAGCACAGCAAGTTGAGGCTATCAAGGAAAATGACATGTGAATCTGATGAGAGTGGAGGAAAAGAGAAGAGCTGAGGATGTGTCCAAGATCTGTGCCCAGATGACCGGGACAAGAGTGGTTGCAGAGCAAGTGACTGAATATGAGCGTCCTGATAGCAGAGGTTTTGCATTTGTTTGTGTGCTTGGTTCTCTAATGTATCCTTACTGCCTGGAACAGTGCTGGGTACATAGTAAGTACTCAATAAATATTTGCTGCATGACTGAATAGATAGAGAAATTAGAAGGCAGTGGTCACCAGTTTAGGTAGGAATGATTTGATTGTGAGCTGTGCTTCAGAAGTTTTCAATGTGAGATCTAATCCTGACTCTGCCATTAGCTGGCTCAATCCAGTTTCAGCTTCCACGTCAGATGCCACACGGATGCCCCTCAAAACTGCTAGAGAAAGCAAGAATACAGGAAACATGCTGGTCAGGAACATTAGTTGTCTGACCCCATATGTAAAATGAAGACTGCAGGGGGAACTGTTGTTAGGAAATGGAAGTTTTACGTGTAGCCACTCCGCTCAGCACAGTACCCCAATTTGTTAGACACAAACATACAGATTCAAGAAGCTGAGTGACCATCAGACAGGATAAAACTAAAGAAATCCACACTAAGAGACATCAAACTTATAAACTCTATAGGAAGAAAAGTGCTGAAAGTAGCAAGAGAGAAATGATCCCTTACTTATAGGGGGAAAACAATTCCCAGACATTTCTCATCAGAAACCACAGAGTCTAAAGGATGTGCCACAGCATTAGCAAGTACTGAAGGAAAAGAAGTGTCAACTCATAATTTTATATCTAGCAGGATAAATATCCTTCAGAAATGAAGGGTAAATCAAGACTTTCTTAGAATAAGGAAAACTAAGAGAATCTGTTGCCAGTAGACCTATCCAAAAGAATGTCAAGGGAAATTCTCTAAACAGAAATAAAACAATACAAAAGGAACCTCACAGCATCAGGAAGGATAAAAGAACACAGTAAGCAAAACTGTGGATATATACAATAGACTTTCTTTTCCTGAGTCAGTTTTCTAAATTTTGTTTGATGGCTGAAGCAAAAATTATAACGCTACCTGATGTGGTTTTAAATATGTATGGAAGAAATAATTAAGATATATTATAAACAAGGGCAAAGGCATGTAAAGCTAGGTAAAGTTTTTCTATCCATTATTTGAACTGGTAAAATGAACCCAGTAGACTATGATAAGTTATGTATATGTAATATAATACCTACAGCGACAAGTTAAGAAAACTATACAAAAAGATACCCATAAATAAATAAATAAAAATGGAATCCTAAAAAGTGTTCAGATAACTCACAGGAAGGAAGGAAAAAGAAAACAAAAACTTAAAAGGGAAAAAGAAGAAAAACTTAAGCTGTAACATATTAATAGATATAATAAATGTAAATGGTCAAAATATACCAATTAAAAGACAGATTTGCAGTTGATATTAAAACTAAAAGATCCAACTATATGCTGTCTGTAAGAAACTTCAAATATAACAATATAGGTAATTAGTAAAGGATGGGAAAAGATAAATCATGCAAACATTAGTTAAAAGAAGTAGGAGTGGCTATATTATTATAATACCAGATAAAATAGACTTCAGAGCAAAGAAAAATACCAGAGGTAGACATTATATAATGACAAAAAAATGTCAGTCTACCAGGGAGACATGAATAATAGTTGTGTATGAACCAAACAGAGCTGCAAAATATGTGAAGTAAAAACTCGTAGAACTAAAAGGAGAAATAGACAAATTCACAATTATTGTTAGAGACTTCACACTGCTATCTCAACACAATAGAATAATTAGTAAATCAGGAAGGACATAGAACTCAACAAAACCATCAACCAACAGAAATCTAGTCAACATTTATTGAACACTCCACCCAACAAGAGTACCTAAATACATTCTTTCAAGTGGCCACTGAGCATATACGCAGATAGACCATGTCCTGGGCCATAAAATAAACGTCAATAAATTTATAAAAATTGAAATTATACACAGTGAGTTCTCCAACCACTATAAGCAAACTAGAGATCAATAATGGAAAGGAAGCCGGGAAGTCTTCAAATGCAATGATACACTTCAAATAATTCATGGGTCCAAGAGGAAATTTCAATGAAAACCATACCAATGAAAAAAACAGTTTCAAAAAATACATTGACCTGAATGAAAATGAAAATGCAACATATTAAATAAAATATTTGGGACACAGCTAAAACAGTGCTGAGAGAAAAATTCATAGCACTAAATACATTCATTAGAAAGGTGTGTCAAATCAATAATCTAGCTCCCACCTTAAGAACCTACACAGAGAGGATCAAAATAAACCCAAAGCAAGCAGAGGGGAGGAAATAAAAAGCAGGAACCGATGAAATTGAAAAGAAAAACAATAGANGTAGTTATGTGAAACATTCTATGTACAAACACATCTGCATTATACATTTATTGCATTGTCTTTATTTGGAATCAAGAGTTAAAATATACTCACTTTACCAGTTACTAATTGGGTAAAACTAATTTATTCTTATCAGTGAACAGACTGTTCCATGATTGTTTGATATGTAAGAAGCTGTATGAACTTTGGATCATTTGAATTCATTAATAATACAGTACCAGAAAACTATAAATATTTATAATAGTCTTTTGCATTTAAAAAATTCTTTACAGCTTTAAATGCTTTCTTCATGTATGTAGTGTCTCCATTTTAAATGAGGACACTGAAGCATGAGATAAGTAACTTGCTCAAAGTCT